CATGGCAACTGCTTGCGTGAGCAGACCAAGGTTGGCACCTCTCATGGCCAAGATGGGGTGAGGTGGGGTGGGATGGAGAGGGAGGGGGGGCGGCCACAGGGTGAGCCAAAGCCCCAGACTCGTTCGGAAGACAATGGTCGGGCCAGAGGCGAGCGGACATGCGGGACAATGGACAGAGACGGGGTGAGTTGAAAGTGGAGCCTGCAACCGACCGGAAGGGATGCTGACAAGAGTACACTTGACGACCTGAATGCGGAGGCTGAAGGCAGAAGAGAAGAGTGTCAGCGCTCTTCGCGCCTTCAAGTGTCCACGCGCATGACTGGCCTCGTCCGACGTCGACTGGCCGGGCTGATATCATCTTGACAGGTCGGGAAGATGAGGAGAAGCGCGCTTGCCAGCAGAGTTTGCGGTCTTGCCGTAATCGTCAGGCCAGCCCACCGGCACGGACAAGTTCATTTGTTGGTCCGACATGTTGCGATTCATGACTATGTCCAAGAAGGCAGAAGATGCTACAACTACTTGTTACCCGAGGCCTGTTAAAACGATAAATTCGGCTAATATGTGACTGATACAAGAGCATACTACTCACAAAACCATGAGTACTTGGACAGAAACAATTTCTCAGCTCGACTAAGCAGGAAAGGACACTCAAGACAATCTCGACAAGACGACATGTCAGAATTCCCGAGCTGGTGTGACAAAATACGCAGCTAATAAAACGTCTGTCTGCAATTTATAAGTAATATAACTAAAAAGGGTATACTACTCGTGGAATAATAAGTAGCTGTAAGTGTTTGGATTGGAAGGACTTTTCCGGTCCACAAATACGGGTTCATCACCAGCATGACATGTCAGCATTTTTGGGCTGGTCTGAAACAGGAGAGGTAGCGGACAAATTTTCTTCCATAAACTGAGCAAAAGAGGACCAACATGGCATACTACTCGTTGTAGACTAAGTAGTATGAGTGTTTGGGTTGCAAAAGCCTCTCAGCTCAACAAAAGCAAGCTCGTCATCGTGTTAGCCCGAGAAACACTCATAAAGTCGGCTGGCCAAGTCGGTCATGCCTCGGCAATCGCCATAGTACATGTTCATATTACCGTGACGCACAAGTATTGTGCTCTGCCAACCGCGTAAACGGGCATAAGTACAAATATCGCCGAGAAACTCGACTTTGGTTGCCATGCCTCGAGACTGCGCATCTTAACGACGCGTGCGAGAGGAACCAATAAGGTTGGTTGTTAGGTTTGAGGACAGCCATTTTTTAGCATGTGGCTCGAGCGAACTCCAGCTCAGCGGAGCCCTCAGCCGAAGAGATTGGCCGAACACGACAGGCATTCGCATTTTCACAGTCCCTTTAAACAGCAATCTACACATCGCATCTTCCCTCTTCAAATAGCACCATTGCATCAAACTACTTTCAAAGCACTAAGTAGTCACTATAGAACGGAACAAATTAGAGCTATTTTTATCGCTTCGACGTGTGGGCTGTTCGGAACTGTTGCTGAGCTGACAATTAGGATCAAGCTTCGCAACTCCTGACAAGATTCGGGCCTGGAAAGTATGTGCGTGTGTGTCTGTGGGATGGGAATATGACTACAGCATAGGGAGCCTGGCTTGTGAATGGGACGGTTCCTTCGTATCTGCCCGTAGGCACGAGTGGATGACTACTCTTGGATAGACCAATTATCCAGTTCAAGCCAATTAACTCGAATGCATTTGCAAAAAAGCTTCCTCGCTTCAGACGTGACGCATGCAGGGGGCATGTGTAGTCGAAACGAAAGAAGTGACAGTAAGTCATGTCCGTGCACAATGTCGTCTGTCTTGAAGAAGTGATTATGCGATGCTGGGCGTCGTTTACAGTCTTCTGGTGCCCTAAAATTCGTTCGAATTCGATGTCTTCGGGGTTCGAAGAGCGAAGATGCAATTAATACGATTGGGCGCAGTCGCAAGGGATAATGGTAAGATACATCAGTTAAGAGGACGGTAAGGTATAAGATTACGAAATATTTGGGATGAGTCGGAGGTAGGGAGTGGGAAAGAAAGTAAAGAGGAGCCGATTTGGGGTAGGTTGAATTCAATCATAGAATCATCGAAGCAAGCAAGCAACTATTGGTGAGATGAAGAGAAAACGGGTGAAAGGAAACGATAAGATATGAAATGAGGTGAGATTAGAGGAGATGAGATGAAATGAGAT